TAAAGTGTTACGCTAACCTCCCACCGGGGCCACCGCAAACAGTTCTTTTTTATTAAACATTGATAAGGAGGAAGTATAATATTTTTTTTTTACTTTTTCATTAACCACGTGCGGATCTGTCCCATCGAGCTTATTAAACGTCCATGTCATTGGCAGCTCCTAATCAACCCTTTCGTCCAGGTGCTGTGGGATCTGTGTGCTGCTGAGAGCGAGAAATGCGCATATCACAGCCTGGCAATGGCTGCACAACAATTACTGTGTACTGAGCATCCTATCAGAACTCTCCAGCAGACCCAAAAAAAAAAAAAAAAAGAAAAAAAAAAAGAAGTAAAACAAACCTGAAAAGCCAGGCTATGATCCGGACCGCCCAGGTCATCTTGTTTGCCCCGGCTGCCCGCTGTGAAAGGACCATGGAAGGTCCCAGCAAAAAAAAAAAAAAGAAGAGAAAAAAAATGTTTTTTTTTTTTTTTTTTTTGGGCCTGACTGGGCAACTTGAAGCTGTCCCGGGCCACTTGCTAGCCTAGCTGAAAAGCCAAAAACTGGCAAAAAGAAAATATGAACTCTCGAGCAGATAGAACCAGTCCTGAGTGTCGACTTCGAGTCATTGTTGCTCAGGGTATACTCAGTGTCTTGCTCTAATCATAAATGTATCTGACCGCATTTACGGCTGGACCTGGATGTATCTGACCTCAATTCCGTATAGAAGTAAAGAAAGTGTTAATGTGAATATGACCTTAGTGATGCATCCCTCCCTCCCCCCCCCCCCCCCACCCCTGATCTGGGAGAGAGGATGCAATCCGATTTTTCAACCCAAAAGGGCCAAAACAGCCGTCACTGTTTTGAGATTCTCGTCCGGCTCAATTTCTCTTTCCTTTTTTTCCCGGACAATATGCATTCAGAATACTGCAGTCTCGTTTTTTTTTGGCGGGGGGAAGTACGGTTATGTCACCTTGGAGTATAAATCGGCAAAAAAAACACCGCGTCGGCAAACAAAACCACGCCATGTTCGAAAAGGCAACGGAAGCACCAACGGCTGTGGTGTCAGACCGGGTGTCATATTTATTTACAGGGATCGGCCGTGGTGTCAGATGGCCAAAAAAAAAAGAAAATGGTCAACGGTTACTTTTGAACCGTAATCGCTCATTTCGAGTTGGCGCGTGCTTTCTTTGCCGACGCTTTGTTGTTGTCTATTTTTTTTATTTTTTTTTCACAATCAGCACAAGGGCCCTTCTATTCCGGAGTGCATCAGTATTCAGCTCGTGGTATATTGCAGTCTTAACGCGTGGCTGAGGGTTTTTTTTTTCTTTTTTCGGTTTAGTCGTTGAAACTTAAGAGTGATCAAAAGTTCAAAGCAGAGAAATGGTTTTGGCTGTCATGTCGTCAAAAAATTGGTATCGAAGTTAATAATAATCAAACTGGGGATAATAACTCTTTAACTTATTACTCTACCCTTAATCACTATATTTCCCAGTCCTTAAGGACCGCCAGTAGGTGCGGAAGTCAGTGTGTGCATGCACGCAGCCATTGCAACAGTGCCACGTCGTTTCCACTTCAATGAATTTAGTCTAGCGCCCCAGGCATGTTCATCCCTGGCCCAGCAGGTCAAGGCGTGTGAGCGGCGCTGCCTCGATTTTCAGAAATACTCATGGTTGACACTCTACAACGAACCCCACCCCCCACCCCCCACCCCCAACAAAAAAAAAAAAAAAAAAAAAAAAAG